TTTACCTAAAATGTAACTGAACTACAAAAATGAAAACAATATTATTAACAATGATAATAAGTAATAATAATCATAGATCCTATAATAAACCTTATTCATTTTAAAGTTTAAAATAACCGTTAACATTTCAATTAGATTGGTATCCTCCTAATTATTACTATTTTCGGCTATCAATGAATATTTTAATTAAAATATTACCTATTAAATTTAGTTTGTTATATATATATATATATATATATATATATATTCTCCTTTATATGACAATTAAATATCTTAATTTTTAGTGAATATAAATAGAATTCAATCCTAATATTTTATTTTATAAATGTTTTATTTAGATTGATTTTCATCTTTCTGAAAATGAAATATCTCAACAACAACATCATCAGTCTAAATCTTTAATACCAACAGTTGGGCATAAAATGGTTGCAGTGAGAAGTTCAGGTAACTATATATATATATATATATATATATATATATATATATATATATATATATATATATATATATATATATATATATATATATATATATATATATATGCTAACTTTTACAGTCAAAATAATCATTATTGTAACATTCTTTATGTCTACTATCCTTATCATTGAACATGTATTTTTGGGGGAAAAATTTATAAAATTTGTCTGTAAAGATGTGTTTGATATTTTTTCTCCTAGTTTTTTTAGTATCTAAGAATTTTATAGAAATGTAGGTAGGTGAAAATTATCCGTTTGAGGTTTGCGCGGTTATCGTAACCAGTGGTTAGAGACTGGATGATATGGCTTAACATGGTCGTCAATAGTAGAGGTCCATTCACTCTTTGTTTTTATTTTAATTCTGAGCTCTAAAATTTTATCCTTGCCTTCGCATCTAATCTTTTCTATCACTATTTGTACTGCTTGTACTATTATCACTTCGATTTCTTTTGGTAATTTTATCTCACTGTGCTAATATAGTATGACAACGTGAACCGACGCAAATGTGTTAGGTTCTACAGTCCATATGACTGACAACTGTTTTCAAAATCCTTTCTCTATATTTAGGTACAGAATTCATATAAAAGTCATTCCACTAGACTTAAATACAGTCGTTTGTTACCAGTTTAATCCACTGAAAACTTTTTAGCATATAATTTCACATTGAAATTAATTTCTGACCTCTGCATATGCGCACTCCAAGTAATCGTTTCTGTGTAAAGAATGTTTTTTTCCTAAAAAAAAACCATCAGTGGTCTTCAAAATTTTAACATGCACTCGTTCTTTCAAATAGTTGGAACTGAAAACAGAGCAGTTAGGTACAACAAGCAGACGAGTGTATAGAGCCTAAAGAAAGTAAAATCCAAAACCATAAGTCATTAATTTTTTTTCTGTATGAATTTGCTGCCTTGTTTCAAGTATGGATTGTATCATCATAGCTCAATAGTTTTATTCATTAACAATTTTATTCAAACGACTTTTCCGTTACTTGTATTATTTCAGGAAGCATTCAGACATCTTTCGTTTTTATCCTTTTTTCATTTTATGACATTTTTGTTCATAGAAACGAGCGAAAATTCCTATCTCCTTTCACATGAAGCATCAAGTTTAAAATCTTTAGGTCCTAAATCATCATCATCGTCATCCTCCGAAAATGTAGCACATAAACTTGGACCTTTTGAACCGAATACTTTAAGCGGCGGTGTTTCAGCTGTACGTCAAACCTCAATACATAGTAGATCACTTCATCAGTCATGGAATTCTGGGACATCAACATCAAAAATTTTAAGTCAACCTGGTGTAATAGCTGGTAAGCATTTAATATCATAGCTAATTAGTTTGTGCTCTTAGATTGTATAATACTGCTTAAAGCATGATTTCATGGTCTATGCAATAAAAACTTTTACTATCGCTGATCATTTTCGTCATATTTATTCATTTATTTTTCACTTAGTCGAAACCTACTAACAATATTAAAACTATGTATGCTTAATTCTGTTTTATCTCGTAGTGTAATTACAAATTTTTGAAGTTTTATTCATTGTCTAAGCTGAAATGTCCATAGTAGTAACATTAGTACTAGTACTAATGTTAGTTTACTGTTCCACTTAGATGTTATAAGAAAATTATTGTTGTGACTGTGATGCTGCAGATTAGAGATCATCGTTTTATCGATCGATTCAATGATACGGAACGAACGGCCTAGAGTCTCGATTGGTCCCGCTTCCCTGTCTAGCCCAGCCAGTTAAGTCCAGGACGTAAGTCTTACCCTCTGAGATATGAATCATTATATTTCAGACATACTCTATTTATATACCAAACAAACAAACCACATCGTACCATAAAATAGAAAACAACATTTACACAATATTTAACGAGTGAAGTAAATATCGACCAATAGGGAATGTCCATTTAACGTCCAAGGACACCATTAGACTTAACACGATAATTATTGGTATATTCCTCTGCATCCCTAACAATTTTATAGTAAATTCTCATTTGTTTTAATCTGTCCTTTAGTATATGTAGAAAATTTCATTCTGTCTAATTGGTTGCTTAAGCCGAAGTATGTAAATGTAGAGGGGTTCAAGCTTGTAGACTAGTAGCTGAAAGCCGAATACTTTAACTATGGATCAGAATACTATATTATATAAAATACAAATCTTTGGGATAGTTTGATTAAAACGTCTGACATATTGTTTAAGTTATTTACTATTACGTGTTGTACTTATATGTTTGAGTAAGGCAGTTAAATGATGAGTACTTTAGTCGTAATTGACCGCTATTCCTGTGTTTTTAGCTTGAAAACCTAGTGAAGTTAATTAAACATTATCGTATGTATATGACATAAATAGGATACAAAAATTGCCGTGAGTTATTCAGTGTTCATTCGAAATCCGTTGCGAAAATCTTGTAAGGTTAACTTGGGTATTGAGATTTGTTGATAGCAGTTGTTAAAATTGTATCTCATCTGAAATTTCCTATTGTGTGCATATCGTTTTGGTTAACTTCGTGATGACTCAATTGGTCTATACTGGCCGGAACAATCGTTCCTCAAGGTCCTACCATGCCAGACAGGTTAACTGAAGAGCTGTGTGACTGAAAGCAGCAAACCCAAGGTACGATGACAGATTTAAGGTCAACAAGAACCAATCAACATCGAGGTGTACAGAACAAGCTGTGAACCACATGTGGAGAAACTCGAATACTTCACTTTTACCTGAAGTTTGTGCTGATGAAGTCATTCAGAAGAACGATGAAAGCTCCATTACCAAACCATCCAGCTCAGAGAACAAAACTCCATCAAAATATAAGGAGGGGTCAAAATCATCTTGTGATAACCATAGAGGGATTAGTTTGACTAACATAGCGTCTAAAACACCAGCCTCAATAATTATCGGGCGCCTAACAAAAAATTATGAAGTGAGAATAAGAGAAGACCAGTCTAGCTTCAGACCTGACCGTGGCTGCGTCGACCATATTTTCACCATTCGTCAGGTTTTAGAACACAGGAATGCTTATCGGCGTCCGAAAATGATGGTTTTTGTTGACTTGAAAGCAGCATTTGACTCTGTTGACCGAGAAGTTCTGTGGCAGTGTCTGTCATTTAAAGGTATACATCAGAAGTGCATAAACCTTATGAAGGCTCCTTACTCTAACACTACCAGTCTACTCAGAGCTTATGGCGAACTGTCATCTGCTTTTGCGATCTCGAGTGGTGTCCGGCAGGGCTGTCCATTATCTCCATTTTTGTTAGATTTCATCATAGACCTAGTGAACTTACGTCACTTATGGCAAAGGCGAGATATCCATCTATCAATTAAGGGATGAGTATACTGAGCAGCAGTTCGTTCTGTTTTACTTTATGACTGCGAAGCATGGCCATTAAGAGTCGAAGATACTCGTAAGCTACTAGTATTTGACCACATATGCCTTAGAAATATTGCTGGCGTCTACTGGGACCACCGGGTAAGTAATAGTGAGGTTCGACGCAGGGTATTAGGGAATGATGGTAAATCAGTTGATGAGGTTGTGAATCTTCATCGACTCAGATTGTTGGGCCACGTGTTTCGTATGCCTGAACACCGTTTATCATGATGCGTAATGCTGACTAGTGTTGGAGACGGATGGAAGAAAGTTAGGGGCGGCCAAACCAAAACGTGGCATCAATGCTTGAAGTCACTAACTTCTGTTCTGAGCTATGTCGGTAAATGCAGACTACTTGGTTGGAGTCCACGCAACTATTGTAATCAATGGTTGGAGACTGTGTGATATGACTCAGAATCGATCACAATGGCGTCGGTGTATCACTCTTTATCTTCCCTTAAACTGTGAGATTAAGATTACTTTATACCTTTCTTTCTATAAACTAATTCTTCTCCTTTTATCGTGTCCGTATATGAAACGTTTCTTTTACTACCATTGAAGTAACTGCTTTTATGAGTTTGGTGTTCATCTTGTTGTGCTACTGTGGTATGGCAACTCGACCCGATGCATATATGTTACTGGTTCTACTCTGTGCCTTAGAAATTCGTGGATGAAATTTCGACATAGAACAATGTAAAATAAGTTTCAAGTAACAATCAATTTTCTGACACGTCTTTTTTTATATATCTGATTTTCTATACCTAATGGGATTGCATTGTGACGTAATTTTTGTCTGCTTTTGTTGCTTCCAATTTCTTTTCCTACTATTCTAGGTATCGTTGGAAGTGTAGTACTTGTCTTACTATTGTTAATTTTGCTTATTCTATTCTGTATTTATCGTTTACGTAAAAAAGATGAAGGATCTTATGCTTTGGATGAACCGAAAAAATTACCCACAGTTGACACTTATACAAGAGCACCAACAAGAGAATTTTATGCTTAAAAAAGTATAACTTGAAAAAGTGTTTCATAAATTGTATATTCATTTTCCAGCCTTACACATCCATACATAAATTAAACATGAAGTTGTTATATTACTCTTCCTTCCGTTCATCATATAAATATATATAATATTGATTTTGCCAATTAGGTATCTGATTATTCAATGTAAGCTAATGTTTTATATTGCCCATGAGCAAATTCATTTACTTTTGTTACATTTGAAGGTGAAAGGAGGAGGTTGTTTTTTTCTACTGACTTTTTTCGACTTAAATTAACATTACTGATTTTTGTAATTGTGTATAGTTTGAGCTGACGTCTAAATTTCTTCTTTTTTTTTAACTCTCCATTTTCAACATGAAAGTAATCTGAAATTATTTTCTCTGTATAATAGTATACAAATGCCTGTAATACATTTTCTAATACTATCTTGTCCGTTCCAATTATTATTTTATCATTTTTCATTTTGTTTCTAGTAAGTGCAATATTAAAATTATTATTATTATTATTATTATTATTATTATTATTATTATTATTATTATTATTATGTAAATGCAGAATATGTATAAAAGTCTTCTGAAAGATGCGCATAATCAACTCATACTACTATTACTATTACTACTACTATTAGTAGTAGTTGTTGTTGTATTTACCTTACAACCATGTCTTTTTCTTTGTTGCATTAACGGTATCTTATTTGATCTTTTTCTAATATATTTCACCTTAATTTGTATATTTTTCTCTCTCGTAATTTAATTCGTATTGTTATTATATTTAAATATGATGAAAATTGTATAATAGTTGCTGCTGATTGGCGTGTTTTTGTAAACCTTCGATTTACTGAGTGTCTATAGTTATATTCCCTAATGTGCAAATTTATTTATTTAAGTGTTACTATTATTTCTATCTTTTCTTACCTTATCCATTAAAACAAACTAGTTAGAAGTCTACCTGTTCACTTTGCTAATATCCTTAATATTTCATATTATTGTCATTTGTGCATATTTTGTTTATGATTGGTTTTCACAACAAAGTATCCTTTTTTTTAATGTGCAGAGACATTGCGAATTTGATTTTTCCTATAAAGGTTTCTAGTCTTACTCTAATTTTTTTTTGTTTTCGTTTAGTTTGTATTCAATATGCTTATATATAATGGAATAGAACTAATTTAATAAAATATATTGATCTTTTAACTTGCAATTGTGAATCATGCTGAAAAGTATACCCAATATTGGTAAATCTACATCAATCCAAGTTCTTACATCTTATATTTGCATAGCAAAAGACGAAAGTGATATAGCTGAAAGTTGTCAAGATCACGAGCTGGTTGTCAAACAGATCTCAACAATTTTCACATAACCTTTATACGAACAACGTAGTGTAGTGAAAATAGTATTATCCATTACAACGGAAATTCAAATAAAAAACAATCTAAAGTGAATACGAATAACATCAAAAGACAAAAGGCTTAAGATGATATTAAGCTTAATATATTGAGGAAGTTAAGGAACCAATAAATCTGGAATGCTTTGATAGAGACATATTTTTATCTTAATCGTAGATCACGATTAAAATTCATCCTAGGGAGTAGGTTTACACTACTTGGGACAGCTGTCTTAAACGAAGTGACCTGATATGAGTAAGAAATTTCCCAATCTCATCAACTAATTTACCATTATTACTTAGTGTATCTATGCTTAATTTTAGCATTACTCCCTCAGTGGTTCCGAGTTATTTGAAAAGTGCTTTGAAGAAATCTGTCATCAAATACTAGTAGCCAACCTAACATCCCTCACAGTCATGAAGTAATTTAAAACGAATTGTAGTAGTTGTATCTTTGCTCCTATTCATACACGTATATCGCATGTACAGCAGATGAAAAGCCAAACGGGCACCTGGGATTTTTTCGGACAATACCCTAGGCCACATGACTCTTCATAGTTAGACTGAGCACACCACTAATGAGGCTGTGGTATTTTAAAGTCGTTTCATTTCGGTGATATAATGCACGATCTGCTACATATTTTTGAACAATCTATTCGGTTTCTGTCTTAAATGATATCTAAATTTTTGACACGAACAGGATTTAGATTTCTGAACAGTTTGTCTTTTGGTGTATTGGTAGTCGTTCCTTTTTTTCTAAATCTCTATCACCTTCAGTGGGTATAGTATCAACAGGAATGGAACATAAGACAATGTGATGCAATTTGTTAGTGCTATGTGTCGGTCAACTGATTTATCAAATCTTCCACTTACCAAAATATAATTACCATTGTGCTACTGTTTCCAACACCTTGCACTAATTGAGATATGTATGCCGGTTACATTTATACAGTCTTTTCTAGCCACTAGTTTTCATGACGGTCATATAAGCTTGTGTAAAGAAGTTATGCGCATTATTGTATTTACAATGACCAAGATGTTTTCATAACATGTTTTTACGTTCAATTTGGAAATTCAATATCTTTAACGTCGTACTTAGTGAAATAAGTCACTCAGTTGACGGGACCACTTTTTCTTGAATTTTGACGGTAACATAGTGAAAATGTTTTATGAAATAACCAAAGGATTTATCTAACATTAATTCATGACGAAAACATTATTTCCAATCTAATGACTCAGATACTTATTGGTTAGAGTACATTTTGGGTAACGGAGCTTCAATTTTTCTCTTTGTTACACTTTTTGTTATAAGACAGGACTCAAATATCACTGTATCGGTAAATAAACACTAGTGAAACACCTTCTTATGAATATACATTAAATATATTTCTTGTATATTAGAATATTGCAACATTTAGGTCGCGTAAACATTTCGATTTCTAATTCATCAGACTGGAATGTATTTGAAGTTGTTTAGTCTATGAAATTTCTTATGTTTTTGGAGTAAATAAGTTACATCCTTGGTTGTTAGACAATTCAGGGGATGTAAATTATATAACCCTTATCCATAGTTGAAAATTATTGTACGGCGGTTTTGATTCCCTACCACCACCCCCGTTGATGAGATATTTTAAGGTGTAATTAAAAAAATTGAAATAGGTGATTGGTGAACTTGTTTTTGTGTGTGCTCATATGATGATAAACAAACCTTTTGTCGCCTGTAAAATTTTGTTAATTGGCTGTAAACTGTGCATTTAAATCTAATTAGTTCAAATTCAATTAGCATAAGGTGCTTTGATTGGATATGAGAATTTGCATTTTATTTTGAATAAATAATTTTGTCTGAGTGTTCCATCCGTGTGTTGATAAAAAATTTTAACTTTGAAAATAATAGACATCAATTTCATTCGACTACCCTTCTATACTCCTGTCTGTGAATGCATATAGGAATAAAATGTTCATTTAAATTTCTTTCGTTCAAGTAGAAATGGAACTGAAGTTGTTAGTTATCGTGTCAAGAGAACTAATATTTATATTATCAGAAGGGGTTTTATAGAGATCTTAGCAATTTTATGATTGGATTCATAAATCAATTGAAGCTAGATCACCATGGAAGCAGTGGACGGCCGTTTCGTCCTAGTATGGGACTCCTCAGCAGTGCGCACCCGCGAGATTCGAACCTAGGACCTATCAGTCTCGCGCGCGAACACTTATGTATATTATTAAAAGATAATTTAGGAAAAACTGATAACCATTTTTACTAGTTGGTAATAATGATTACTGGACTTGAAAGGTAATCAAATGTTTAATGCACAAGTAGTAAGCTGAATTTCATCTTATTATCTCCGTGATTTATTTTAACACAGTTTGATCTTGTAATAATTGTTATATGCGTGCAAACATTAACAAATGATCGTAATAAAATAATGAATAGGGTATGTAATGGTCAAGCTAAACGTCAAGGATCGGTGAATGAATAAACTTTTACACTTTCTTGATCATATTTATGATGGGGTGATTTTGCCAACAGGAATTCATGATAGAAAAAAGTTTTTTTAATTTTGCTTTGAAAATGGTTATGTTAATAAACGCAAGATTATAATTTCTTTATTTTGTCAACCCATTAAAAATAAAAAAATATTTCGAACCATACATTCTGCATTCTATGTAGTTGAGCAGTATATAATTAAGATAAGAAAAACTTATCTATGTATGCAGTAATGTAAATCAACCATTGCTTTTGGTTCTTTTCACGTAATGTCAATAGCAAATGTTTTGTAAGTACTCACTCTGACCAAATCATTATCTTAATGTTTTGATTTCATCTGTAAATGAGATCGCATATATATATATATATATATATATAATGTTACTATAGTTATTTTTCTACAAAATATTGAGCCAATGAATAATATAACTATAGGTTACTTATCAGACGAGAAAAACTGACTAATCTATGAGGACAAAATGATTCATTAAACAATCAGTCATTCTTCTTATTAATTCAGAAGAGTTTGTTCATAAATAACACGTTCGAATCCTGAGGTGGTGAAGAATGTTTTGGTATAATACGTTAATAGTTTAATACATTAAACTTCCCAATTCAAAGGATACATATAACATTTTCTAGTTCATCTAAATAATGAAACATTCCAATCTATTATGTTTTCACTGTCGAATGACTGATTTAAATTACGAACACGAAGTAATCATAACAGCATAATCATTTGAAATATTCGAAAATCGTGTTTTTAAATTCACTTGGTGCATCCTGTGCGGATTGCTTTGATATTGCCTTAAATCACAAGCATTATAAGCAGATATCGAAGCAATACTCACAGTGTGCACATATGCCAACAAGAGACTGATTAATTGCAGTCCTAAACAACAATGGGAAGATTCAAGTAAATAATACCAAAAGAATTTAAACTTCATCCCATTGCACAAGCAAGTGGCTATCAGGACTCAGTAGCTAAGTGGATAATGCGATGGCGTTTAAGACGAACAGTACTGAGTTTGGGTCTTGGGGTGACCAACTCTGAGATGCAGGTACATCCAGCTGACGAGTCTCAGTTAGGACGAAACTCGCATCTTGGATTCCACTGCTAGCCACTATCCATCATTTTTTATAATGCTAGTTTGTTTTATTTATCACTTTTTTCTATATGGATAAAAAGAAGAAAAAGAAAGGAAGTTATATACCTTCTAAGGTTTAGATAAATTACAATAAATAGGATAATGGGATCATATCATAACAATTGACGTAAATTATATTTTTTCGTTTAAAGTTTATTGCTTCTTAACTAATCCTATGAAAAATATATTTCCTTCTGATATGTTATTGTTGTTTTCATTGTCAGTCTCTTAAATGATTATAGCATAAATAGATAGACTTGTTTATTTATTTTCTACTATAGTTTATCTAATCAGTTTACTATTTAAGTATAAAGACATTGGTAAGAATGTCTTATTATATTATGATAGATTGAAAACTTAATTTGATTCTTTCTCATATATTTGAATTAATTGTGATGAATAGACGTAAATACTTCACATCCATTCATGTGTACAATATCAAAATGTCTTTCTTCTGTTGTTGAAAGGAATGAGTAAATATTTCACCAGTAAGTAATAATTTACGATAAAGACTGATGAGTTAATAGGTTTTCCGTTATGAATTCATTGTTATTCTACATAAATCTCATTGAATAAACTTTAAATGTGGTTACTATTTTGATAAATTTAATTATATTCCATTTTTTAATATCACTATCAATATCAAATCTTGGTATGATTGGTAGGATTTGAGATTTAAATTCATTAATAAGCGAGCGATTTAAAAAGACTGATATTTAATCTTCCAGAGCATGTAATCATCTTTTTTGTGACCAAACTGTATATGAACTCTGCTTGTAACTCTAATCGACTTACTACAAATACTAAGCACATAAAAAGAAGGAGATTTGGACATGGAGTTGGCATCGCAATCCCGTAGAAGACAACATTGCTAAAAAGAAACTAACCATATTAAACAATTTAAATCATGTCCTCTGAGTTGAAGGATACTCATTCAGAACAATTATCAAGCCTCATAGTGAAAGCCGAGATTCTTCAGAAGTCATGGAGACGATGCCCATTTTAACAACAACAGGAACAATCAATATAGATACATTGAACTTCCGGACAATGTGGGAAACCGGAAGGACCAATCAAATAGCTGTGGAAATGAGGAGATACAACTTGACGGTTCTCCGTATTAGTGAAACCAATTAAACCCAAACTGGAAAGAA